GCTGCCCGAGCGCTACCGGCTTCATGGTTTGCCGGGCAGCCTCCAGATCCTGCGCCCCCAGCTGGGCGCTTCCCCTCCCGGGCTCCAGCTGCGCTGGGGAAGCACCGGCCGGGGGCGCAGGGTCTGGGGGCTGCCCGGCAAACCGTGAAGCCGGTAGCGCTCGGGCAGCCCTTTTCGTGTGGCTGGGAGGGAGGAGGGGGAATGCGGGGTGCTCAAGGGAGGGGGCGGAGTTAGGGCGGGGACTTTGGGGAAGGGGCGGAGTTGGGGTGGGGAAGGGGTGGGGCCAGGGCCCCCGTGGAGTGTCCTCTTTTTTTATTTTTTAAATATGGTAACCCTATTTTTTCACACCCCTGAGCAACAAAGGTTTTACAGACGGAAGTGCAGTGTAGACATAGCCTTAGACTGTCTCTTATTATGTGTTTGTGCAGTGCCTAGCACAACGGGACTCTGTTTATGGTTGGGTCTTCTAGGTGGTTCTGTAAGACTCCTATTAATGTAAGTTTGAAAAATGGAAGATTGCCTAATTGGATTTATCGCTTAAGCAGTATTATTGAGGAATCTTGGAACAGGGGTCATCAATAGGAATGCTATTGTTACTCAACTATTACTAATTCCCTCGCAAGGAAACCCTCTTTATAAGTTTAGATATGGAAATTAATAGGGAGAATCTTAGTTTTGCAAACCAGAGCAAGGTACTTTAAACCGCTAAAACCTGCATATGTTTGTTCAGAGATGTGGGGATGAATGTGCAGGGAGCTTGCATCTACAAACCTCATCCACAACTAGAAAAAACTTTTGAAAATTTGTTTGTGTAACAAAAAGTATTCTAGTGTGATTTAAGCAACCCTAAAAATACAAAGTTCTCTCCTGTACTACTTCCGTCCCCTGTCCTCAACCAAAAAGGATTTAGTCGCATGGGTTTCTTACTGACCATTTCATCGCTTTTCTAATAGCCTGTTCCCTAGGAACAGTTGAGTTGCTTGCTGGTAAATCTTTTCCTACATTGAGATGTTGAGGATGCTTATTTCTGAAAAGTAAATAAAATACAAAAACCCGAAAGGCAATAAAATAGAGAACAAAACATGGGAAAGATATAGTTGCATAATTATAAAAATACAGCAAGTAAATGCATGGGTGTGGCAAGCCAAATATGAGAAGCAGATGCTAACTATTGCTAGAGAGCAGATTTCTCAGAGACCCATGTGATTGTCTCTTTTTGGAGGGGTGGGTGGTAGTGGAGGGGGTAGTTTAAGTAATCCTAAATTTCTGTTTGAAGATGTTTGTTTTACTACCCTACAAATCTCTTGCAGTTACTTCTCTGCCTATTTCTTGTCTCTCTGTCTGGCAAGACAACTTCCTTATTTTCTCTTTTACCTCAGAAGATGGGCTAATTGGAGATGGATGTTTTCTTTCTTGCCAGCCTATGGTTTATTGTTCATCTGTGCTATTTTGGCAGTTTGTTCTCTTTACAATTTATACATTGTAAAATGTAAGATTTTTCAAGTGAAAATTGATTTAAAAATTTTGATTACTATAACCTTTTAAAAGTTATTCTAAAATGTGCTACATAATTATGAACAAGGATGTGATCTAGTGTTTAGTACTTCTTACACTACCTCTTTTTGATTAGCATTGTTGCTTTCAGTCTTTTTCAGTAAGAGAATACAATTTTAATAGTTTACATAGGTATGCTAGTGTTCTGTTTGGTGTAACTATGCTACATCAGAATTGCGGTACTTGGAGCGGCTAAATTATAGAATGCTGCATACACTGAAAAATATGTTATTCCTCAGGCAGTGTGCAGCTGTTGCTAGGTTACATTATTCTCAGATGCCTGCTCAATGATGGCAGCATTGCAGCTGAAGGGGCTTGCAGTTTGAGTCTATGTACTTGCTTTTAAATATCACTGGATTTCCAGAGTTTTGTAAGCTCCAAGTTGCAGCATTAACTGGGTGATACAGAGCTCCAGAACTACTGGGAAATGGAGAATTAAAAAAGATAAAACGAGAAGGGAATGAATAAAGATAGACAAAAGACACTGAAAAAATGACATGCAGGAAAGCAAATGAGGGATTGTTTAGTGTAAGGAATTCATACTAAAAAAAATGGAAAGAGATCAACACAGAAGCATACTGAGAAGCAGAAACCAATGGAATTGGAGAGCAAATAGAACCAGAATAAATGAATGGGGAAAAAATTAAAATATAAAATGAAGAAATGCAAAAGAAATTTAATGCAAGAGTAGAAGAATGAGTAGTGGAAGAGACTAAAAACTGGGAATGGGAGGAGATTTTGATAGGGAAATAAGTAAACTATTGGACAAAATGAATAAAGAAAAACCTTTGCTTAAGTCATAGTAGTAAATTTTAAAGTTTTGCTTTGGTTTTGCAGTTGAGTTACAAAAGGAAAAATATTTCAAAATATATAGAATTAGGAGAGTGAAATATTGGGAGTGTATAAAGACAAACTGTTTTAGAAATGTTTCTGGTGTGAGATATTTTCTGTCGCTTAATGTAAATAATCCAATGGTGGGGAGAGGTGGGTGGAGTTGGTTAGTGTTCCATGCTGTAAAGCCTGTTTTAAAAAACAAACCTCATTTTTGTTCAAAACATTCCTCCATTTTACAAAACAAAACTTCAGAATATTCTTATCATATCAATAGTTTTGATTTCATTATAGAAGGTGAACAGAATTGCATTGTGTGCTACGAGTAATTCAAAGCAATTGTTTTTGTTTTAATAGTGTATTTGGGACCGTCTTGCTGTTGGTTTTAAACACAAGAACTACCGATCCCGAGAAGGAGTGTGTTTGTGTCTCGTTGCAACCTTAAATATGTAAGCATCTTGTTTTTATGGAGACATAAAATATTAAAATTAGTACTCTATCCTGCTTGTTTCTGAATGACTTTTCCATCTGAACTTAATACTTTAAGATGCCTGATGCATTTAAAAATGCTCTTACTAAATTGACTGGTCCAAGCTTTCTGGAGTTAGCTGAAAGAATGTTCATTTGGTGTGTGTGTGTGTGTGTGTGTGTGTGTACATGTATATTTTCAAGTGTGTAACCAATGTGCCAAGAGCTGGGCATCCATGAAAATGTTTACTTTAGCGATGCTAAGCTACAAAGTAAAACTTCTGTTTTGGTGTGGAAAAAGTGTTTTTCTCTTGATTGATTTTATTTTATTTTTAGTTATGGTGCACAACCATTAATCCTCAGCAAGTTGGTACCACACTTATGTATCTTGTCTGGAGACTCCAATAGTCAGGTAAGGGTTTTATTGCTATATATTACTTGTACAGTGTGCGTTTTGATATTAAAAAAAGATGGTAAATTGATGTTATGTCCTTAAAGAAAAATCTTCATAAATCTTTTTTTATGCTGTCTTTTAATTCCACCTATTCAAGCCTTACCTGTTGGCTTTTTCTCCCTGAGCCTTATGTGTTGCCAGATGGACACAGTGTTGTGGGGGAACAGTTATGATATGTCTGCCTCAGTGGGGCCTGTTGGCTCTCTCATCTCATTTGTTTCCTGTCTCCAGCAGCTTAAATCAAATCACTGCTTGATAGTCATTTTCTGTAGAACATATTCAGAGAAAAGCAACAAAAATAATTGAATGACAGGAAGGATTAACCACAGACAGAAGATTAAAATGAAATTTGTATAGCTTGACCAATTGACTAAGGAAACATAGCAAGTATAAGATGAACACATCTTGCAGGATGCAGACAGGTGAGGCGAGATATTTAGGGAAGTACAAGGACTATAGCTAAGGCTAAGATTTTGTCATGGTTATTTTTAGTAAAAGTCACGGACATGTCACAGGTAATAAACAAAAATTCACAGAAGCCAAGACCTGTCTGTGACTTTTGCTGCTGAGGCTCCATGGTTTCCCCAGCTGGAAGCTGCAGGGAGGCCCCCCTCCGCCCATGGCGGCTGGGAACTGCAGGGTGACCATATTTCCCAAAGAGAAAATGGGACACCCCCAGCTATCGCTCAGAAGTATGTCACCTGCCACTGGAACCTTGTAGGGGGCCCCCTGTTGCCTGTCATTTCTGTCGCCTGTCGCTGGAACCTTGCCAGGGCCCAGCTGGCTGCCAGCTCCAGAATCCTGCAGCCCCTGGGGCTGAAGCAGAGATTGTCAGGGAGATCTCTGAAGTCATAGATTCCATGACCTCCATGACAAAAACATTGCCTTAACTGCAGCTAGTAATGAGATGAAATTAAGCAGAGAGATGGCTAAAATGAAAATGAGGAGAAAATTTCTGAATGGTGACATCTGCACTGTCGAATAGCCTTCAGATGGAAGTGGTTGAAGCCCCACTTGTGGTTTGTTTAAAATTGGACTTGGCAGAGCACTAGAAAATACTGTAAGGAAAAAAAAAAGTTTTGATGGGATATGGACTAGATAATAGGTCTTCCATCTAATTTATATGCTTCTGCTTTCAATTAGGCTAGATCCCTGTCTCCTTAATAGCATAGGGAGTTGTTTTCAAATCTGAAAGAAGCTTTGGCATTTTGTGGCTCACTTTTTTTTTTTTTTTTTTAAAAACAAGTCATGGTATGGGACATATCTTTAATAAAGTGAGTATGTTGTGGACCACCTGCTTTTCTGTTCACAGATCAATAGCATTGCTGAACCAAGTACATTACTACTACATGTAAAGTATTAATATTAAGGAATTGTTTGTTTTAGCTGTCTTTAATATGATAGGTATGATGTAGTTTTTGGAGATACTCTCTTCCTTCTTTCTCTTCCCCCACTCCTTCTCTGCATATATTTCTCTACTGGCTGGTCCCCTTATTCTTTCCCTACCAGTGATTCTTTGTAGTAGTGCTCTTGGCGGAGGCAGGAAGGCTGGCTCTTGCTTGTTTCTCGCTGCTTTTTCAGGCAATCGGGTTCTTTTTACAGTGAAAAGCACAACTGGATTAGAAGCAGCTGGAACCAGAGGAACCAGCACTATTTGATCAGAATATATGGAATAATGTTTGGGATTGTTGATCTAGTGTAATAGGACTCGGAAGAAATTACCTCCTCCACCCCCCCCCCCCCCCCCCCCCCCCCCCCGTTTGATATCTGTGTCATCCCCTCCAGTGTTTCTGTTTGTAGTGTCACTGAGATGACCACTTCCCCAGACCTCTTGGCTAGAGGTCACTCTGCAGGTGGGCCTGCCTCAGTTCCCTCCTTTCCCTTTCCCCTTTCAAGGGGGTTCTTGGCTTTTGAGAGTCCAGTGAAACAATCCTGCTTAGGGTATGGTTTATTAACTTAGAGTTCAAAATTGAACACACAAGCCTTCCCCCAGCTTTAAGCTGGCCACAGCCTCAAACTCCCTGGGTTCTCAGGGTCCTTTCTTCCTTAGCAGGCTACTTCTAGCCGCAACCCCCCCCAATAACTGAAGCAACTTCCCTGGTCTGAAGATCCTCTCTGCAGGAGCCTTTCTCACTCTTTTTGTAGTCTTTCTACAGCTTTCTAAGCATTCCCCCTTCTTTGCTGCTTCCTGCTGCTCTTTATAGGAGAATCAACTTCTTCATACCCAGTTGGTTCTACTAATTAACCCCAGACCGCATCCCAGGTGTGGTAGGCTAATTGAATGGGGAATGGCTAGAAAGGTCCTGGTATAACTTTTTGTTACCCACCTCTTCCATCCTCATGCTTCCAACTATTTGTGAGGTAAACCTGCATGTTGGGTTGTCATAGTGGCACTGGAAGATTGGTTATTCATTGTGTTATGTCAAATATAATCTTCTATAATTTAAAAAAAAATCTCAATTAAATATGCATTCACAGGTGAGAGATGCTGCATTATTGGCAATTGTGGAGATTTATAGACATGTAGGAGAGAAAGTAAGAGCTGACCTTAATAAGAGGGGAATTCCCTCTGCAAGGTAAGTCATTATTTATTTAATTTTTACCACTTAATTATTTTGATCAGTGCCTAGAATGCATTAAAATCCTGCTACTGTTAAATATGCAGTGCCACTTTTTATACCATTTATCAATTCCTTTTGTTTAAATTATAACATCATTGCTGTTTCTAATTCTGCTTGTTATGTAACAAATTATATGTAACCAGAACTGAAAACTCCTTACTTCATCTTTTCTGCTGGAAGATGCATGGGCTATATGATGCAAACCGCTTTACATCCAAGAATCAAATCAGATTTTTTTTTTAAAGTGGAGCTGGGCAACTAATGGGGAAAAACTCCTTTAATGTAATAAAAAAATCATAATGAACTTTGAACAAATTATTCAAATATATTGTGTCCAACTGTAGATTTGGGTTAATAGGTAGAGGGGTATGTGTGTGTGTGTGTGTGTGTGTGTGTGAAATTTATTGGAAAATATTTGGAAATCATCCAGTAGCCTATTCTACAAATGTTATTTAACCTGCTCTAATTCTAACTCTATTAGTAGAAGGATTTCTTTCTTAGGGATCAAGAGTACAAAAGCTGGAGAGATTAGAAAGAGTTGCTTAATTCATATTCCCAAACAATTCAAGAGTTGATATTAAACTATCCAAAGTCTCAGCTTGTCCGCACCAGATAATTGGAGTAGGTAGGAGCAAGACATGGCTCAACTAAACCCCTTCCTGTGTCAAGACAGGATTCAAGGCATCCCCATTCTGATAGAAAGGATAAGCATAAGCTAATAGGTGACAGTTAAGACCATGCTGCAAATGGTGGATCTGATGACTGCAACTATATTCCTAGTACCCATCTCCTCCATATCTTCATGTGAGGCAACCTCAGTGGACCTTAAGGTCAATGTGGAAGCAAACATCAAAGGGACTTAATTTATTACCCAGATAAAATGTATCTTTTGGTCTCTCTATCCTGGTGACAGTCCAGGGACAAACTGCAATTAGGCATGTATTTCCAAATTCCTACCATCTAAATCGTAGTGACGATGGATGTGTCCATTCTGAAATGGGTAAACCACACACAAATATTCCACTCTCAAGGAACTTGGTTTCTCCAGGAGCTGCATCTTCATGTGAATGTACCTGAGATGAGTGGATGCATGTAGGACTAACAGCTTCCTGTTTTCTCAAAAGGTTTTCCTCATTCAAACAGGCTGTCAGACCATCATGTTTTGCAAAAACAAGCAGAGAAGTACTAGTGCTTGTTACGAAGCCCTTCAGGGGAGGGGAGTCTGCTCTGTCCCACAAAACATTTTACAGCCATTCTGTACCTGTCATGCAAGAAGAATACAGTAGTAGACTGAGTTTATCCTGGGAATGAGCTCCTGCAAGTGGTCTCTGGATCAAGTTGGGATAGATGGAATCATTCTCCTCAACATAAAGCTATCTTCTGCACTGGTACTGACAAAAAGCAAAACTTCTGTGTGCCTGTCTACTCCTGTAGCAAAGCTCAGGAAAGATAAATGTTAAATGATCCTAGTAGCTCTATGCTGGTTTAGACTGACATGCTTCTCAATTCTGTTTGTAGATGAAGGCCAATCTTTATCATATTGATAGTTTGACAGCTGATCATTACTCTTATAGAAACTTATTTTTACTGCTTTATGGATGAGTAACTTTCATTATTTTAAAGTACTGTAGATGATCTACAGTTTGAATACAGCTACTTTAAATTGACTCATTCAGAGCTTCTCAACTATTCCATTATATGACAGTGACTTACAAAGTGGATCATGAAGTTGTAAAGTAAATACGTAACTGAAAATGTTTCCCTTTAGTATTTGTACACATATATAGTTTAGAATGTCCGTATTGTTTCATTGTGTGTATACCTGCTTAGTTTGCATAAAAAAATATTAATGTAAAAGCTTACAGATGATGCTTCAGTGCACGCTGCTATAAAGTACTGGCAAAGCAATGCTTGTGTCCTAAATTGAGGAAGGCAGGAAAGGTTAATTAAGTGCAGTTTGTAAGAAATTTTTTGTAACTTCATTAATATATGAGGCATATCACATGTAGATAATGCCAAACAAAGTTTGTAACACCTCTAAGATTCCACTAGATTTAAAAGGTCTAGTAATCTGTGGTTGGGTTTTTTTTTAAATGCTTTTTTTGGTATTTCATTTTTGCTTTAAATATGTAGGGACTTTATAAAAACTTAAAAATTTTCACGTAAAGGCCAGCTCTCAGTTGTTGCAGGATAATTTGTATACAAGGCCCTTTGCACCTTCTGCCATGCTGGGTCTAAATTCTGTGTTAAACCCTGGTTTCTAAGGCAAATTGGAAAGTCTACAACATTTTCATTGAAATGGAGGTTTTTATTGAATTAAACCTGAAGACCAGTACAGTCATTACAGTACACCTTTTTGTGTTTGTTGTAATACGAAATGCAGTTTATTTTGCTAATCCACCACAGATTTCTGGGTGACACAGATTTTTGTATTGGCAATTCATAATTGTATCCAAGAAATTGAAGGGAAGCTGGGAATTTTGACAGATGTGTTGAGGGCATTATTGGAGCTTTTGACACAAGAAAAGGCGTGGGTGGTTTCAGTTATGGGGTAAACACACAGGTTGGATACGTTTGCTGAAATAATTTTGTTTTTAAATTTCCACCATTCAGGCTTCAGATATTACCCCACTGAAATAAATGACACATGTTAAACCTTTCCAAGCTCTTTGTTTCAGGCGGTCTGCAGACGTGGGAAGACAGCTCTCAATGCAAACTTATACTGTGTTATCTTCTCACCCATGAATGCAAAAGAGCCACTTTTTAAAAATTAAGGCTGTAGATTGTAGAGCATGCTTAATTGTGGAATACACAGTGTCCTGTTCATGTATAGACTGAGTCAAGGTGGATTTGTTCTAAATCATGATTTAAATCACTAATCAGGAAGACTATTTTGAAAACTTTTTAGATTAGTTTTACAGCTATATCAGAAAATGAATGATTGTTTAGTTACTTCATTTACCAAAGGTAATTGAAGCAGATAGTTCACCTCCCTTGACTTCATAAATATCTCTAATTCAACAGGTTAATCATTAATATTTGGAGGATTTTCTTGCCATGCTGTATTAGGAGGAGAACATCACCAGAGAAACATTTACATTGTTTTTTTTTATTAACTAAAACAACGTTGTGTTTTCTGGATTTTTTTCTTAAACAGCAAACATAATATTTTAACACAACAAGCATATTAATTTTTGAATTTAATCAAACATTCAAGTTTTTTAAAATCAGGTTTGTTTTTGTTAAAATTGTTTTTAACTAAAATAGTTAAATGAAATATTTAAAAAATCAAAAACAAAAATTAAATTGACTATGTCAGCCAGGTCAACATGAGAAACTTAAAATATTGGCTTCTGCACCTAACTCAGTCGTCTTCACCTTCATTTTCCTGTTTGTTCATAATCTGGAAAAGAAAAACAAGATTTTCCAGGTTCCCAACGATTTCTGAGTTTGGAATGAATTAATCCAAAGGAAGAAAATATTCTTTCTACACTGGCAGAAGAAGCTGCTGTTAAAAGTGAGATTGTCACTTTAACAGTCTCTGAATCCAAGTGCTTAAGTGACTTCCATCAGTTCATTTGTGACTTTCTTTAAAACATAATCAGCAAACATATATTTCTTGAATGGTTCACCCTTAGCTCTGAAGTTTATTATAGTTGGCATTATGGAGGGATGATTGCTGGATGTCCATGTCATAGCCAACTCCTCTTCTTCAGCAGTTAACGTTTGACCCTGGTACCAAGTATTGAGAATATTTGCAAGAAAATGAGCTGGAGATAGTGTTTTTCACATTTGTTTTTTTTACTGCTTGTAATTTAACTCTGTCATTGCATATTTCTCTCTTTAAAATCTCACTCAGTTCCTTCTAAGTTTCAACAGCGTCAGCAATAAAACAACTATTTCCCTGCACTTTGTTCAAGACTACAGAAATAGGCTTCAGGGTACTCAGCATGTGTTCAACATTTCTCTTACGCCCAATGTTGAGAACTTTGGCTGTGACAGTGCCATCTATTTTTTTTTCACGATTTTTGTTCACAAACTGTCATCAGATTAGGCCATTTTTGATACACCGCGACCCGATATAACACAAATTCGGATATAACATGGTAAAGCAGTGCTCCGGGGGGGCGGGGCTGCGCACTCCGGTGGATCAAAGCAAGTTCAGTATAACGCGGTTTCACCTATAACGCTGTAAGATTTTTTTTTTGGCTCCCGAGGACAGCGTTATATCAAGGTAGAGATGTATAGTGCTCAAAACAGTCCACTACTGAGTTCCATCGCACATCTTGTGGGAGAGTTGCCTTGATTCCTCCCACTTTTTTCAAAGCAGCTGCTGCAAAGTGGTTGTTATCGAAGTATTTTTCAATTTCCACAACATTAGCCTTTATTTCTGGAACACTGAAGTCTTTGGCTAGAAGGTGCATCAAATGAGCACTGCAACCGATGTTATTAGCTTGGGACTCTCTTCTAAATAATTTCTTCTCTTCTTGGATACATTTGCAGCATTGTCTGTGACTGCTATGTGTGCATTTCCTGATGTGTCAATTGCTTCTGTAAGGAAGACATTCCCTTCTTCTGTTGTCACACACGCACATACAACAGGATCATTGTGGACATTGCTCCACCTGTCAAGAGTCAGGTTAACAATTTTACCCTCTAGACCTTTTGCACACTGCTCAATTTCTCTTTCATACGCTTTATCCAGCAATTTGCCTGCAACATCTGCTCCGTTGTGTGGACTGTATCCTGGTCTTAATGACTGAACCATGTTAATGAAGTGTGGGTTCTCAATCATACGGAAAGGAGAGTTGGTTGCATAAACAAACCGGACAATTTTTTCATCAATTACCTCCTTTTTGTAATATGCTGGTTCTTATCACAAACTTATCTATGGTTGTTTCTCGATGATGGAGATTTTTTTTTTCTTTTTGCTACAGGTAATATACTGTGACATA